AAGAAAATAAATAAAAATTAAGGAATGTGTGTGTGTGTGTGTGTGTGTGTGTGTGTGTATATATATATATATATATATATATATATATATATATAACATGTATATATGTCTGTGTGTGTATTATGTGCATATATATATATATATATATATAACATGTATATATGTCTGTGTGTGTATTATGTGCATATATATATATATATATATATAACATGTATATATGTCTGTGTGTGTATTATGTGCATATATATATATATATATATATAACATGTATATATGTCTGTGTGTGTATTATGTGCATATATATATATATATATATATAACATGTATATATGTCTGTGTGTGTATTATGTGCATATATATATATATAATTTTCTGTTGCATTGTCAAATCAACTGTGTGACATGTACTCATTCATATGTGAATCATGTGATACACAAACTATGCTACCAAATATTGACATTTTAAATATCATGTGGATTAAGTGCACTTCTTAAGCATATTGCCTATGTAAAATTTAAAGAGTAAAGGTTTTTCCCCCCCAGTGTTACTAGAAATGTTTGCATATATAGTCTTCCATTACACAAGTCAGAAGGGAAGTTGAGTTTTAAAATGGGACATCAAACTAGTCACTAAAATGATTATTAATACTATGCTTATTTATAGGTCAAGATGAAAAGAGTTAAAAATGGTATAACTATATATCAATTTTCTGTAAGTATTATATTTAAAAATTCCCACCTATGTGGTAATCACATTAATAAAGATGCCACTTCATAAATTGGAGCAACACAGTAATAGAGGTATTATATTGAGTGAGACTTTTGAATAAATGCTGGAAATTACTACTTATATTGGGGATCTTAATTGTGAAACATTCTTGTAACCAAAGGAGTTCTTAAAACTTTTCAGAAGTTATTAAAACCACACAGAAGAAATTCTATAAAATGGTGTTTTCTTTAAAGCATTTATGAAACGTTATTCTAGGTTGATAGTTCTGGAAATATGAAAGAAGATTAAAAAGTGAGAGCACCCTCACTCAGAAACTTTTGGTTTTGTACTTGCTGGAGTAATTGCCTATGTTAATAACAGGATTTGACAGCAGAAACCAGTTGATGGCTTACATTTTCTGAATTGTATTGGATTGAAACCTACTGAATGAATCAGTTGGTAAACATTGTCAAGACAGGAGTGGGCTATTGTTTCATCCTTGGAAAGTCCGTCTATATACTACAATCCATTTATTAGACAGAATTATCCTAATAGAATAATACCAAGGGTGAGAAAGACAAATTTTAAAAATAAATAGTTAAGGCTTCTCTTTATACTCATGAGAAATAGTATAAATTAACATAGCAATACAAATGGGTTGGATGATTCTTATTTATGCTTTGTGAGATAGTTGTTAAAATTAGGCAGTTTAATTTGCTTTCAAGTAGTATTGTGTTTAATCACCATTTAGTAGTATTGTGTTTAATCAGCATTTCTTTAAAGAGTTTATGAAACATTGTAAAATAAGTTATTGGTTTCAAATATTAATGTAAGATCCTCATTCAAGCATTTGTTTGTATGTCCTTGAAGTGAATATTGGTTGATTTCCAGACTTTATCTATGAAATCAATCAGTAGTACAGTTATACATAAATAGATTCCCTGATGAAATCATAGTGGGCCGGCCCGGTGGCGCACTGGAGAGTGCGCCGCTTGGGAGCGCGGCAGCACTCCCGCCGAGAGTTCAGATCCCATGTGGAGACCGGTTCCCGCTCACTGGCTGAGCGCGGTGGGGGCACAACACCGGGGGTTGCGATCCCGTTACCGGTCAGTAAAAAAAAAAAAAGACAAAAAAAAAAGATAGTCATGCATATTTAGCATGTACATTACATGTGTGCTAAAACATACTTAATCTCCATTATATTAAAAATATTACATGTATAGCTTAAATATGTTGTTGTTTTTACTTACAGAAAATTCATAACTATTTTAAACTGTAGTAGTTTTCGTAATCTTATAACTTCATTTTTTGTTTATTAAAAACATTTTTTCATTGGTTCAATACATAGAAAAATTTTATATTTAACTTACAGTGATAAATTGTCTATGTAGTTAGACTCACCAAGGATAAGTATATTTCTTTGTTAACATGCCTTATTTCCTTCTGTAAAAATAAAGAGTATTGAGAATTAAAGCATCAGACATGGTCAGAAAAGCTGACCTTTAAGTTTTCTATGGATCTTAAAGTTTAGTGTTTCTGAAATTTTTTGCTGCCTCCCCAACTTTTTTGACAGTAACATTATAAATCTATAGAAGCCCCAAACAAAATGCAATTTTGGTTTTACAATAATTAGCTTTGAAATATAACCTTCAAAAAAGTAATGTATTATCTTATAAAAGTCCATTAGGGTATAAAATCAATACTTTAGCCACTCAGTGGAGCATTTCATTTTTTTCTCAATATTTTTGAGAGAAGCCACTATATGCTTCCAATTTAACCTTTTTTTTCTTTCTTACTGAAATCTTGTAAGTAAATAAAATAACCTTTCTAAGTCATTAAAACCTAGTATAAAATTAGCAGGCTTATGATAGATTACTTTTCCTTTGTGGTGAGCAGACAAGATAGATCTAATAGTCTTGAGTGCCCTTCTGACACATGAAATAGCATCTGCTTTCTCAAGGGAGGATGTTTGAAATTAAAGACATACAAATTCTCTAGTCTGCCTTGGAGAGATTAGACCATCCGGTACAAGCATTGATCTTGGGGACTAAACTCTCTACTTTTCACCCTAGATTCAAGAAAGGAAAGCATTCTTAACTAGCTGTTCATCAGAGCCATCTTTTTTTTTTTTTTTTTCCCTTTTTGTCTTTTTTCGTGTCCAGCAACGGATCGCAACCCTCAGTGTCGCGCCCGTACCAGACCGGGACCGGCAACGGGATCGCAAACCTCGGTGCTGCGCCCGCACCTCGCTCAGCCAGTGAGCGGGAACCGGTCTGTATGTGGGATCCGAACCCTCGGCGGGAGCGCCACCATGCTCCCAAGCGGCGCACTGTAGCAGTGCGCCACCGGGCCGGCCCCATCAGAGCCATCTTAGTTACTGGATTACTAAAGAGGAGGCAACCTTAAGCATAATGAAGGAATATAGCTGAAAACTGCACACTTTGGGGCATTTATGAGGTTGATGTTTGCTGCCACTGTGTATGCCTTCTTAATAGATTATTACACTGATATTAGATTAATAGTGGCAACAGGGAGGGTAAGGTTGATTTGACCTGCATTAGTTCTCTATTGCTGCATAACAAATAACTCCAAGTTTAGCAGCTTAAAACAATAAACATTTATTATCTCACATACTGTTTGTAGAGTAGAAGTTCAGGAGCAGCTTATCTGGGTTTTTCTGGCTTCAGGATTTCTTATGAAGTTGTAGCCAAGATGTCAGTCTGGGCTGTCATCATCTGAAGGCTTGACTGGGGCCAGACCATGACTTTCTATGTGGCTCTCTCATACACATGGCGAGCTGGGGCCGGTTGCTGTCTGGAGGCCTCCATTCCTTTCCACAGGGGTGCCTGAAAGTTTTCATGACACTGTGGTGCTTCCACCACAGTGGGTGATCCAAGAGAGAACAAGGTGGAAGCCAAAATGTCTTTATGACCTGGCCTCAGAAATCGTATACCATCATTTCTGGCATTTACAACTGTGTATTGATCGACCCTATTCAGAGTGGGAGGGGACTTCATGAGCTCAAGAATTCCAGAAAATATGGTAATTGGAGGCCGACCATCCCAGAGTATAGTAATTCTTCTTTTGTATTGTTAATAAAGTTGGTCTTGGGAAAATATTTTTCCCCCCAAATATTTCTTCATCCACTTTTCTGTGGCTCTTTGAGCAACCCTCTATTTGCAAATCCCCGTACTTTCAAGTTGACCTCTTATTCCTCAGGGCTCTGCTGTGGTTCCCTTCCCATCCTTCTTTTCTCATGAATTCAAGAAATATTTATAGAGGACAAATTGTGTGTCAGTCACTGTTCACATCAGTGAACAGGTCATTCCCTTCACATAGCTTACCTTTCATAGTAGCTGCTTTTCGTAAGTGGCTTCCCATCATCCATAATTTCCAGTTTTGTCCTTTTAGCATTCTGCTAAAATTACCCTATATTTAATGAAGTAAACAAATGCAAAGTAAGAGATCAATGATTGCCACTATTTGCTTCAAAAAACACTTATATTTCAATAGAAATAATCTGTGATTTCACCTGAAAGCATAAAGTAGAACTTCAAGGCAAATACTAAGCACCGGAGGGAGAGCCCTCATTCACTAATTTTACTGCCTTAAATCAGTACTTTCTTAAAAATCAGAACTACTTTTGTTCGTTGGAAAACATTACCATCAAACTATCTCCTTCAGCATGATCTTTTTCACAATGTAGAAATGAAAGGCTGGGAAAAAAGTGTATTTCAAGCCTGAACTGGGGCAAAAAACATCATTGTTAAGTTATCTTCATGAACATGTGAGAAGAGTCAGAGATTACAGTAACTCATTTGCTGTTTTCTTTCAAAACTGACACAATGGAATTTCAGTTTCCCCACATATGGTAGAAAGACATGGATCATCTTTTGTATATGTTTATATCCTAATCTAGTGTTGCAGGGATTCTGGCATTTATACCTATGATTAGCTCTAAGCTATCTTTCTATAGGGCTTTGTATTTTTATTTATTTATTTTGTTTTAAAACTGTTTGGGCCAATAAATCTTTCTCCAAATGTCAGATTGGTCAACACTGAGAAGGTAAATGGAAACTAATGACACTCATCAAGTTTATGTAAATGATTTATTGTACACAATCACTTAACACTTTCATAAAGTCAATATCAGGGAAAGAAACTGGGCTCTTATTATGGTAAACTGTATTTGTACTGTCAGCATTCAGTGATTTATTATAAACCTGTGGCTAGGATTAGGATATTATAAATGGGGGAAAAATGGAAGGCTCATTAATTTTTTATGCCCACAGGTGGAAGACATGCAGTGGGCTAATAGAGAACACACTCACCCGGCATCTGTCTGCAGCCTGCCATGTAAGCCTGGGGAGAGGAAGAAAACGGTGAAAGGAGTCCCTTGCTGCTGGCACTGTGAGCGCTGTGAAGGTTACAACTACCAGGTGGACGAGCTCTCCTGTGAACTTTGCCCTTTGGATCAGAGACCAAATATCAACCGCACAGGCTGCCAGCTTATTCCCATCATCAAATTGGAATGGCATTCTCCTTGGGCCATAGTGCCTGTGTTCATTGCAATATTGGGAATCATCGCCACCACCTTTGTGATCGTGACCTTTGTCCGCTATAATGACACACCTATTGTGAGGGCTTCAGGACGTGAACTTAGTTATGTGCTCCTCACAGGGATCTTTCTCTGTTATTCAATCACCTTTTTAATGATTGCAGCACCAGACACAATCATATGCTCCTTCCGACGGATCTTCCTGGGACTTGGCATGTGTTTCAGCTATGCAGCCCTTCTGACCAAAACAAACCGTATCCATCGAATATTTGAACAGGGGAAGAAGTCTGTCACTGCACCCAAGTTTATTAGCCCAGCATCCCAGCTGGTGATCACCTTCAGCCTCATCTCCATACAGCTCCTTGGCGTGTTTGTCTGGTTCGTCGTGGATCCCCCACACATCATCATTGACTATGGAGAACAACGGACACTAGACCCAGAGAATGCCAGGGGAGTGCTCAAGTGTGACATTTCCGATCTCTCACTTATTTGTTCTCTTGGATACAGTATCCTCTTGATGGTCACCTGTACTGTCTATGCCATTAAAACGAGAGGTGTTCCAGAGACTTTCAATGAAGCCAAACCTATTGGATTTACCATGTATACCACCTGCATTATCTGGTTAGCTTTCATTCCCATCTTTTTTGGTACAGCGCAGTCAGCAGAAAAGGTAAGTGGCAGAAAATGCATTTGGCAACCTTTTTCCTGGATTTAACTTCTTCCTTTAGGATGCTTTTCCTCCTTCCCTTTTGGTTCATGTATACTGTCTCAAGATGCTTCAGTCTGTGCTATTCTCATTTAGAAATATGTATTTATAGACACACACACACATAAATACACACACACATATGTACTTTAGGTCACAGTGCTTTGAATATGTGTTGACTAAGACTGATTTTCCATGAAAAACAGTTTAATGTATCCTCCTTGGCATGGTTGAAGATTGACAGAACTAACATCACTTTCTGGGTCTCTCTTCCCTGCACTGTTATCTACTGACATCATGTTGTTCTTTTCCAAATGCTAATTAAAAGAGGGAGGGAGAAAGGTCAGACATGGTTCACAGGGGTGAGATATCCCAGAGGTATCCCACTGCATGACAAATGCCTCCTCTTTTTTTATAATGTAAATCTGGGAAAAAGCCATTCCTTGAAAATTGTAATGATTTTAGAAATGGAAGCTGAGTTTATAGTAAAACAACCACAACAAAAAGAAACTGAAATGGTTTAGTGCAATCTGAACCATCTCTCTATTTCTGCTCAGTCCCCAACTCTTTTTACTTTTTATATGTGGAAGATGATGCTGAGGAATAAAGAAGACAGCAGTGGGAAATTGCATAAAGCAGTTTGTAATTTTTTAGAAGGCAAAGATCAGTTGAATCTCCCGAAGTAATTTCTTTCGTCACTAATCTCCCATTAACCTTTTCAGTATAAAAAACTGCTAGTAAAGAACATCTATACATGAAAGAAAGTATTTGCTGGACTTGATGTGTGTATTTCTGTGTATGGAAAAGGAGAGAACTAAGGATAACTCTGAATTCTAAGGTTTGGGTAGTGGGATGGAGATAAACCATCTTACAAAACAGGTGAATGCGCTTTCTGTAATAATAGCCCTTCATCCCTAACGTGCATGTAAGAAGGTTCTTCTCTCAGTCTGAGGACTTAAAGATTGATCCTCCATCACTAGAAGTTGTGAGGAAATCAAACATCCTTGGAGCAATTACGTTCCCCAGCCTATAACATTCCAAGTGAGGTTCTGCTTAAAATCCCAGCAAATTCAGAGAAAAAGTCCTCAACAAGAAGATGGAGGGCTCATTAGTGTGAGCATTCATCCCTTGCTGGATCAATAACCATGTCTGGACAAACAATGTATTTCAGCAAACTTGCAGCCAAATAGAGTAAACTTGTCATGGGTTCCAGACCCTTCAACTTTTCATGATTGTTTGGCCTTGTAGCAGTCCATGAATATTTTATGTCAGACCAAGCATGTGAAAGGAAAGGGAAGTAAGACAGTTTGGGACTTTAACCCTAATAATCAGAAAACATATTTTGACATGTTCAGATGGGAACAACAATTTAAGCAGTACTTGTATTTGTATCGGGACCTTTATTGTGTACTGTTTTATCTAGAAAGGGCCATGGTATAGTTTATTCCGCTTTCTGGTAGACAATAAGTTTTTGAACCAAACAAAATCTCTGAGCTAACATCTCACTTCCTTTTCTTTTTCTTTTTTTCCCCTTACATTGTATATAGTGTATCCTACTCTTACTTTTTATATAGTGACTTCCAAGGAGGTGAGGTGGGAAAATACAAATGCTAATAAGATTTTTTTTTCATTCAGATAAGTTTTTCAGTATCTCAATTTTTAAACTAAATAAAATTATTGTCCTATATCAAGCTATTGGATATCATGATAGTCATTCAAACATAAATCGTATTATTTATACTTTTTTTTAAGGTAATCAAAAAGTAGCCATTTTTTTCTCAGAACAATAATGTTTCAGGGTTGTAGCTGCCTCCTGAGGAGCCTTGATGGAGACAAGAAGGATTTCAGGGTGAAAAGACACATGAATATGCCAGGGGGTGGAGGTTGCCCTGTTCTGCTGAGCCTGTAGGAGAAGTACATCCATTTGAAAACCTGGAAGTCACGTATATTTTTATGGGTGTGGATATATCCATGCAAATATCTGCATATATCTCTATAGTCATGCCTATAAAGATGTGATTAAATCCATGCCTGTAGAGATATGTGGCTAGAAAAACTCCTTTTTATTTCTTAGCTTTGTGGAATCAAAGTAAGTCTAAGAAGCACATTTTAAGATAAATTGCAAAATACGTTATCAGAACTTACTTTGTATTTATTGATATGGTCAAATGTGGAAAAGAATGAAGAAATCAATAAGAAACAGTAACTCTAGAAATTTTCAGAATATCGTGGAGTCCTCAAAGTAGTCTTGAAGTTGTTCAAGTTAGATCAGCTTTACATTGAGAGCTATCATACTACAAATAGCAGGTACTTTATATAATAAAATTATGTGTTACCCTAAAATTTTCTCTTAAAATTTGCTACCTGCTGTTCTCTGCCAAAGTGTCTTTTATTATTCAAAGGAATACCTATTCTTGAGGATCTTTATTTTTTCACATTGTTAAAATTATTAACATGAATATTAAAAATGAATTCAACTCATATCTCTAAAAGAAAGCTTCAGATAAGTTTTTTTTTGACTTTGGAAGACCAAAGAACCGGTCAGTCCTTCATTTTCATTTATAATTCTCGACCAATTAGCCCACATTATCAACTTGAAGCATTTACAACAGCTAGGAAGCACACACATTCATTAATTTAGCAGATCCTTATTGAGCATTATGTCCAGCATTGTGCTAGTTATTGAGCCCATGTCAATCAGCTTCCCTGAGCCTTCCTTGTAAGGCTGTGTCTGGCTCCCAGCCCAGGCCTTGCTGATGCATGCCAGGACTTGCAAGGTGTCAGGCTCAAGGGCAGGGTAGGATAGAGGGATCAGATCTGAGATGAAAAAGTAGAGAATGCATCCTGTAACTAAACATCAGTGGTACAGAACTTATAACATGGAAGAGATCAGAAGAGCAAAATTTCTTTCACTATGCATTTAATTATGACTTCTCAGAGTAATATCTGTAGCAGAGAACACATCTGACCATACAGGTCTCTCTGAAATTACAGGAAGCAGGAATAAAATGTTAAATTAACTGAATAATTTAGAGAGACGTTTTGGAAAACATTCGGGTAAAATCAAGTAATAAAGGGACACTTGTAGCAGAGTCATAAAGACAGATATCTCTCCGAAGTGTGCCTTCATTCAGTAATAAAACACTTTAATTTCTCTACATTACCATTTTTCAGGTTTTGAAATCAACATGAGTCATTTTGTCCAATGGATTTTAATGACATCATTTGTGCCTACTTCTGAATTCTACTAAATTATGGTTTAAATGCACTTTTTATTTTGCTATAGAAAAGTGGAGCAAAGGAAGAGTGGACACACTGAGGCATGGCCATAGACTAATACAAACTCTCATAATTGTGCTGAGAAGAAAAAAATATAATATAATTAACTTAATAGTCAGGGAAACAAACCAGGGATGGCTAGGGGCTGTTAGGATGGCAGAAATCTCTTAAATACATATTTTATTATTCCTAATTAGGCTCATAAAATTGAGATAATCAGACAAGGGTTATGACACTGCCAAGCTCCAAGGAGCATAGTGCTTCCACCAGACCATCGGATGGAAACAAAACACCCTCAAAATGGAAAAGAAAATAAAATTTAAAAATGGCAAAAGACCCAATAAATCCCTAACCAGGTTTTCTTCCTTCATCCTCTGGATGTGTAGTGTAGCATCTGTCCAGTAGTTCAAGTCAGAAGGCTGGGGTCATCTTAGCCTCCTCCCTCTACCACCCCCACCCTTTTACCACATCCTCTCCCCTTTCAATGTCATCCTTTATGAATTTGTGGAAGGTAAGCAGCATCTGCCTGATGTATATCTGAATGAATATGTTTCTTACCATAGAGCACTTCATATGGCACATTCTCAATAAATACCTGTTGAGTGAGTGAATGGAGTGACTTGCACAATAATGATATAATAATGTAAATGCTTATTTATGATTTAAGTTAGATGATGGCATAATGGGAATCTTCTCCATTCATTTTCATGTGATCCCCGTTACAATTTTTTTTCCTGAAAAGATGTTTTCTCATTTAATGATGAATCACATGCATTTGTGTTTCAAAATTTGTCACTATCACTTATTCTGAAATAGGGCTATTTCATATTTAGGGAGAAAGGCAAGAAAGAGTGGTTATAGTTGTCCTTTGTTCTATCCAAAATTCACAAAGCAAAATTCACAATGCAACTGTCTGAAATTTTTTCCATGCCACCACCTTCCTTCTTCTTTTTCTATTTTTATTTTTTCTACTGTATCTACTGTAGAGGCAGAGAAGGTAAGGATGTAAGGTGCAGAGGTGGACCTGTGGAGTAGGAATAAGAAAGAGCATGAGCTCCAGAGTGTGAAACTTGAGTTCAAATCCTGGATCTGCTAAACTAGCTGAGAAAACATGAGCAAGGGGCTATCCTTCTGCAGGTAGTAATAAGTTCCCCCAGAGAATACAAATTCACATACAGATCAATGTAAAGCAATCACTTGTTGTCTGAGGCCAGCTCTATTCTCAAACTAGAGCAGACTTGAGTTCATATAACCTGAAAAAAGGGAAAAGGCAAGAAGATGACTGACTAAATCAAATCACATCCTCCCACTTAATTCATTTGAATATATGGCAGAAAATACTGGAGGAAAGCAAAGCGTTATCAGAAAACAGTTGCTGAAATCTCTATGTTATAACTTGAAATGTGAATAACTCTAACAAGAGTTGTGAGAGGTAGTTCTGAGATCAATGATAAAATTCCTGCTCTAAGAAACAGTCCAGATAAGAAAAGAATAGACTGAGAAACCTGGGGTATAACCTGAACAGTCATGGGAGGAATTTGCAGAACAGATCAGAGCAGAGGTAATTTTCTAGCCACATCTGTCTCTTAACATTTCTCCGCTTTCTTAGAAGGAGGGTAGTCCAAACCATTACCACTCTCCATCTTGTGTTTGTAATTGTGGCACGTATCTATGTCGGGCTGCTG